AAAAGGCAATAAAAGCCCATTTTGGGTTGGCGGTATGTGGGGTTGGCGGTATGTGGGGTTGGCGAGACCCATTCTGCGTTTTTGTCGATGAATTTTAATTTTATAAACAAACAAATAAAACATCCAGGGCATGTAGGGCATTTTATTTGAAATAAACAGTAATTACATAGTCATTACCTAGTTATTGGAATCAAGAATCAAGTCATAAATTTGCATAGAATGTAGGTACTACACCCTATAATAATGATAGGGCATCTTCTACCTCTTCAAGAAGATCTATGATCTACGACATTGGCTTATAGATCAGATCATCCAAGGCTTCAAAATAATTTTCCCTCTCATTCCAACGCCTTGGAAACGGAAACCCATCTAACACAATTTCATTATCCAAATTAATCATTGTCAAATAATGTCTCTCCACCTCCATATTCCTGATTTCAGTTATTTTTTTTCCTGGCTCACTTCACACAAATTTGTTCCAGTTTTTTTTTTACAAAAATGTTTGTAAAATGTAAATATGAAATTTGAAATCGGAACCAAAACAAACAAAACACCTAACCTCATTTTATTTACTAGCCGCGGTTATCTTGTTCTAAATTCCAGGCCATCGAGCAATTTAAAGTTAATTGCCAATAGGCGAAAAAAACGCTTGGTGCATATGAAAAATATTTTGTGATCACGGCTAAAGTCTTAATCAGAGAATTTGTGCAATGGTGCATACGGGCATAAGTGTCCTTTGGGGTGCGTTCATATTTAGACGAACTGTGAAATGGAGACGGATAGATCGGTGCTCGTTTTGGAACTCTTGTTGCCTGTGGTTCAGGCGATCCATTGTTTTCTTTTTAGGCTGTGCTACTTCATTAATAACTACAGGTTCTTGTGTAGTTATTTGGAATGAGTTTTTTTCTTCTATCTTGGATTCTAAGAGTTTTGTTGGGGATTGCGTCGTCCCCTTGTTTGTTTCCGTACACAGTCCTTTTTGCTGAATTACATTTGTAGAATAAAACACGACGACTTGTATAAATTTACCTTTATTCTAACCACAATGGTACAAAACAGCCAGTCAGTCAACCCGTGGCAGATCAATAATCTCTGGATCAATCATAGTTGTATTCTTTTCAAGAGTTTAAAACACTCGAGCTACTCGCTCCGGTGTTTGTCGCCCGAAAGTAATAGATGTGTGGTGCAACAAACACTTTTCGTAAGGAATAAGGGCGTAACGCCCCGGAGCTGTTCAGGAGCTTCTCCTAGGGGTGAAAGGAATACAACTAATAATGTACAGTACGGAAGTTGACGTGACAAGTGACAGCGTTGCTAGTTGCTGTGCCCTTTCAAGCGAAAAGTCACCCAATTACAGCGTTGCCGCCTTTTACATGAAATATCTTGACCGACAACTAACATATTATTTTGAAATGTATAAAAAATTAATTGCTCTGAACCTAATCCTAAACAAGTTTTATGAATTTTTTTATGCTATCGCGCATGTTCGACAGTTCCTGTTTGAATCTGCTCATTTCTTGGACTAATTTTAAAATGTTATCCTCATTTTTATCCCCCGTCAATATCTTAGTGTTTTCCTGTTTCAGTTCTTCGTTTATTTTTTCCAACTCCGCATGCTTCTTTTTTACTTTTTTCAGTTGGTCATTTAAGGATTTTACACTGTTTTTCACGTCATTTCTCTTTTTGCGCTCTTCATCTAGCTTTTTGTTTAGCTGCTTGATTTGTGCTCGAAATTGTGTTTTTCCATCTTTTTGTCCTTTTCTATCGTTTTGTCTTTTTTGATTATCCTGCTGTTCTTTACACCTTATTCTGCAATTACATGTTCTTTGATCATTTCTTATGCCCCGCTTATAATCTCGTTCGGAACAGCTGACGTGTTCTTCTGCACAGAACACTGGGCCTAAATGTTATGTATATCTGTTTTGTCCTTTTTGATTATCCTGCTGTTCTTTGATCATTTCTAATGCCCCGCTTGTAATCTCGTTCGAAACAGCTGACGTGGAACACCCCATAGCAGACTATACACACCAGACATTTCAGTTCTTGTTTAGGGTGGCACTTGTAGAAGGCAAGTGGTTGTTCTTCTGAACTGTCCGACAATTCCGCACTCGGCATGGTTATCGAACGCGCCTGTTGCTGAGTGGCCAGACAGATGAAAAAGGAAAAACCGATTGACAGTTGACAAAACAGGGGATTTGACGTTTTACACACTGAAAAAAAGGATCTCTTTAACGAAATGAATATGACTTTCAGTCAAAAGATTCGCGCTTTTGAATAGGTCCAAGAGCGTTGTTTCTTGATCCAAACCATTAACTCTCTTCCTATAGATTGTCTAAAATTAATTCAGGCAAGATTTTATTCTTTTCGTTCAAAGCTATTATTCTCTTGGTTCAAAACCAACATGTAAGAGAGATTTTGAGGGAAGAGCCAAAATATCTCTTCGGAAGAGATTTGTCTTTTGAGTCAAACTTCATGTTGCTCCGTTGAAAGATTACTTGTTTGGATTGGATTCCGATCTTCACAAAAGTCACACGTTATCTGTATAGCAGTAAAAATTAATAATAAAACTTGTTAATTGTTTTGAGGACACTTTCGTTCCATTGACAATTCTGTACCTGAATGGCAAAGTGTAGGAAGTCAATAATTTTCTTATTTCTCATTTCTTCTTCTTCCCACTCCGCTATAGGCCACAAAGAATCGATTGCAAATAACATCGAGTGTCCATCACCAAACAATTAACTAGGCACATTTAATATTTTTAGTTGATAAAAAACAGACAACTTGTAATTTCTGGTGAAGATCGATATACTTATATTGGATAGTTTTTGAAAATTAAGGAACTATTGCAATTCAACTTCATTTCAATAAAATATTTATCCCGACCGGCAGACTTAGATTTTTTTTCGCACAAACGACCTATTTACGGAACGAAACTCAGAAGAGTACTGGCATGGCGAGGCCGCTTTCGTCAATCGTTCAGCTGCACTTATTTCCCATAATTCCCTTCGCGTTGTATTTTGGTTCCGAATAACAAGATTGTCAGGCAATTGGAATAACTGTAATGTCTCTTGAACGAATAGCTTCCCTATCTATAATTTCCGTAGCTCTTGAGAGAAGATAATTTGAACTTGGTTGAAGAAAGGAACAGTCAAGAGAATTTTTGGATTTTTTCAAGAGAACTATTTTACTTGAACTCAGAACATTTCTCTCCATGCAATAGATATTCTTTTATAAGAAAATATTTTCTCTTGTCGCTAATAATTCCTTATCAAGAGAGTTGACTACTTTGGTTCAAGACCAGCATTTTTTTCAGTGCAGCTGTTTTGTTTTTGGGTGAAACGTTTTCCCTTGAGCTTTCACCCTTTTCTTACCATTCCCAGTATAACCAATAATATTCAGGCTGCCCAGCTATCCCTCGCAACGTTCACTGCCCCGAACTATGTTTTGAAGGTTCTACTTTTCACTTTTTGGCTTGGTTTTATGGACACACGTTTCACTATATTTTAACAGGTATGAAGATCTCAATGGTATTTATTTTGTGGTTTACCAAGAACAGGCTTGTTTATCATTGTCTGTGAAATTGCAACTTGCACTGTAGGTATTTATTGATTGTTTTCAAGTGTTTGATGTTTAAAGTTTTGATGATTAATCATAGACTAAGAGCTGGCGGCCGCGGAGGCACTACGATAATACCTACGGCTGAAATTTTGTAAAGTGGTTAGGGGGACTATCAGGAAGTTCCATCTGCAAGGATTTTGCTCGAAACCCCTACAAAAATGAAAAAAAAAAACTCAAAAAATGATCATACCTCTGGCTGAAAAGTTGCACATTACCCGTTCAATGCCTTCGCTAATGGCTTCGAAAATTTGACGTTTTATGCGTGTATCAAACGTAAAATTGTCGAAGCAATGTCAAAAAGGAGCGAATTTCGCGCAAGTAAGTATTAAGCTTCAAGGTCACAGATAACGTATGTAAATTGTCAGACGTCTAGGTCACTGCAAAAAAGGTGTCAAAGTTTTTATTTTATGCCTTTTTCTCCGATTTCCTTTCAATATATATTTTTGCAGGTATTTGATAAATAGTGTTAGCCGTGGGCCGATTTCTTTGTACACAAGTGTAGGTTGTTTTAGTTTTAAGTATCTATTTTGAGAAATTAGTGGAGAGAAAAAGTTAATAGGTTAATTTTAAGAGGGTCAGAAACAAGTATACTTCAACTTTGATAGTTTGGACAGTCACTAGTTAAAGTAAAAGTATATATTTAGTGTTTCAATTCAAATTTTACAATTTTATCACAGGTCAGCTTACATGATAAAGGACTAAAAACTAAAGACAATTTTTACTAATTTCACAATTTTTACAACAATAATATCAAATTTTATTTATTAAGGATTTTACAGGGTTAAAAATTCAATTGATGGTTTGACCAGACATAATGCACCTTTGTTCTTCATAGAGATTTAATATTTACAGTTTAAAATCATTTTCCCCAAGTTCATATGTAAGGAATTCACTTATGCTATGGAAGGCTTTGGTTATGATCAACTTTTTTACTGTCTTCTTGAAAGGTTTAAACTCTTTTATACTCTTCAGGAGTTTATTGGAAAAGGTTGGTGCATTTTCTTGATTTTGCCAATCCTAAGAAGTCCAAGTTTATATTGTCCTTCTTTCTAGTATCGTAGTATGTCCATTGTCATGATTTTGATAGTTGTGCAATTTTTTTTTAGCTTATATCAGGCACTCAAGAATGTAGTTTCCTGGGATGATAAGTATAGTAAGATCTGCAAAAACATCCCTTACATTTGCTGTGTGATGTGACATTTTTTTACATTGATGCACTATGACCAAGATGAGTATATCCGAAGATATGCGGATTAGTTTTTTATGAGGTCAATATTGAAGTTTTAACACTGCGATAGCGTTGGACATACTTTACTTATTCTTTCAGAAATGTTCCATTACACAGTTACAAAAGTTTCAATTTGTTTTTGTTTTATTTGTAGCTTTGTCTTCATTTGAGGGACCAGCGACCACAGACGCGGCCTTAGCTGCTATAGCAGCCGAAGCGGGTCTTATAGTACCCGAATCAGACGAACTAGATGCAGGTAATGAAACAGTTGAGATGTATGAAGACGATTCCGCCAATTCACCGATTAACACGCTAGAAAACTCAGAGGAAGCAGAAGCATCAGATGGAGGATTATTGGGTGGTAGTAGGATAATTCGAAAACTTTCTCTTAAGGGGGGTTACAAGTCAAAAAGATTGTTCAGAAAATTGGGATTAAAGGGGGGTAGTAAGGATTATGCTGTTGTCAAATCAGAAGCGACCGCTGCTGAAGCTGATTCTACCCAAAATTTAAATGGTTTTGCTAAGCAGGAAGATGACGTAGCAGAAGGTAAAGATGATCTAGCAGAAGTTAAAGAGGATGTAGCAGAAGTTAAAGAGGATCTAGCAGAAGTTAGAGATGATGGTAAGTGCTTATTTTATTTATTTGTGTAAGTAAATAAGGAAAGTTGTATCTCTTCAAAATAAATATTTTTTTTAATGGATAATGCATTCATATTGAAAATCTTGAACAATATTTAGAAATTGGTTTCGAGAGTTGGAAAATTGAACGCCTTTAAAAAAAAATATGCTGATATTTCAGCTACAGAAAGTCTTCTCAAGTTCAAATATATTTTATTAGTTCAAAATATTTAATCATCTACTTGACTAAACTGTATAACTTTCAATAATTCTAGTTCATTCGCCAAAATATCAGAACAAATACCACACTGTCATGGGTTCCGGGTCCACTAAAACTTTTTTTTTATTATTTTTTTTATTTCTAAACTTTAAACAGTGCATTGGTATACTGGTATCAGGTCCTAAACTAATTGATTTAATTTCGTTCTTGGTTTTAGATATTAGGTACAATAACTAATAACAATCTTGCCCAAACATAAATAAGCCATTCAAATTATACTGGGTGGAATTTTCAAATGGAATATATTCAGTATCATAAAGCCTGTCTATTTTCTAGAAAAATAAAAATAAAACGGGTCCCTTTATTTTTACTTTGGTACATTTTTTCGGACTTTTAATGGAATTTTCCCCTTTCTTAAGGGTAAAAACCTCCCATTTTATTTTTCCAGAAAATAAACAGGCTTTATGATACTGAATTTATTCCATTTAAAAATTCCAGTATAAGCTTCAACTAAATACTTGACTAAATATATTTCAAAAAAAAAAAAAAAAACAAATATGTATTCCCCTTATATAAAAAAAAAAACAAACCAAACAGGTTCACAAAACCAGTATTTAATAGCTGTTTTCGGCATTGTCATCTTTTCCATCGATTTGCTCAGTATATCACAGTATATACCAAATCATCAAAAGAGTCAACACTCTTTACAAATTTTATGCTTACATTACGTATTATAATTTAAGTGCAAGAGACGGCTGGTGTACCCATTTAAAATAACATATAAACATCAGGGCCTTTCGACGCACGTATTTGGAAATCTTGGAATATTAGATATATTAAACAAGTTAAGTGAAAAGTAGTTTGAAAAAAATCATCAAGTAAGCCAATCACCAAAGTTATTTTTCAAATTATTGTTTTATTCAATTTCTTATTTTCAAAAATTTTATGGGTTCTCTCAGGCATAAAAAAAAACTTTAGGTATTTTATTTTATGGATACAACTGCCCTATAAATTGTTGATAAATATGGTCATAAACACCAAAAATTTGATTTTCCAGAAATGGACATGGATGTGCTTCAAGACAAAGTAGATAATGAAATTGCAAAAGAAGACGCTGAAATGAAAGAAGTATCTAATGAAGACGTTAAGCAAGATGATGAAAAAGCGGATGATCAAGAAGCTGTAGAAGTTGATCAAGAGGCAGTGTCCAATACCCAGAGCTCAGCGGGCGAGTCATTGCCTACTGATAATGATAATTTGTTAGACCTCATGAAGGTAGAAGAACCTGATTACTCTAATATGGAGAAAGTTGAAGCTGATTTCTCAAATTCCACAATAAATGAAAAAACTGATCCAGACCCAAGTACGGAAGAGGCAGTAGCAAGTCCGAGAGAGGCAGAAGCAAGTCTGCAAGAGGCAGAAGCAAGTCTGCAAGAGGCAGAAGCAAGTCTGGAAGAGTCAGAAGCAGTCCCGGAAGAGGCAGAAGCAGATCCGGAAGAGGCAGAAGCAAATATGGAAGAGGCAGAAGCAAATCTGGAAGAGGCAGAGGCACATCCGGAAGAGGCAGAAGCAAATCCGGGAGAGGCATTAGCAATGGAAGCACGTTTTCCTTCATTGGAAAATGAGACAGATTCCAATGAAGATCCACTTGCTGCTTTAGCTTCAGCTGCCTTGGATGCCTCCAAAGAGTCGAATGACAGCTACAGTAAAAAGACTGAATTTAATGGTCCTGCTATACCACAGGAACCTGCAAAGGTATTTTATTAATCACAAATATCTAATACGTAATAATTAAATAATTATTTTATTAGGGAACTTGGTACACTGTAGGTTTTATTAAAGGCACGTCCTACGATGTGCTAAATTATCATCTTTTATCAGATACTGACTCTTTGACAGTTGACGATCTTCCCGAACTTTCGAACTATCCAAAAATCAATCTGGAACCAGGAACAGCATATAAGTACAGAGTTGCAGGAATTAATACTGTCGGTAGAGGGGAATGGAGTGAGGTATGCAGATTAACCCCTATTTTGTGTGGAATAAGACTAAACAAATTTCATTGCAGGTTTCTGCGTTCAAAACATGCGTACCAGGTTTTCCAGGAGCTCCTTCAGCGATAAGAATAGCAAAAGCTAATGATGGGGCACATTTATCGTGGGAACCACCAGGTGCTAACCCTCAAGAAATTCTTGAATATTCTGTTTATTTGGCTGTTAAAGGAAAAGTAAATAATTTTTAAAAAAATATAAAAAGTTAATACTTAGTTATATTTTCTTATTTTCAGGACAGAGGGATTACAATGACCCCTCCCTCACAATTAGCCTTTGTTCGAGTTTATTGTGGCCCGGATAATCAGTGCGTTGTCATAAATCAATCACTTCAAGCTGCACATATAGACACAAACTCCAAACCCGCAATAATCTTTAGGATCGCGGCCAAAAACGAAAAAGGGTATGGGCCAGCTACTCAAGTTAGGTGGCTTCAAGGTCAGCGAAACTTTAAATTTATTTATTTGTTTGTTTGTTAATTTTTTTATTTATTTATTTATGAATACTGGATAAATCCCATCTGTTCCTGGCGATTTATATGGCTCAAATGAGTCAATGACCATTTCAGCCTACGCCATGTTACTACTTTTTTTGCCGTCTGCCAGGACACATTCATGTTGGAATTACTCATAATTGCAGGACAGTTGTTCATGTAGGCGGATGTAACAGCGGTCTGCAGTTGTTCCGCTGCTAGGTCCAAGTTTACGGGTTTTCTTATCGTCGTTTTTACAGCCCGCAAGTTGTTCTCCAGGTGTGCCTGATATGCTTCCCAGTTTATTCTGCAGGGGTTCCGATAAATTTCAGTTTCAACACTGTGTCCTATAATTTCACAAGAGCTTGGTGGTAGCCCCGAAACAATTTATATGCGACGTTGCAATTTTTGGCATTTTCATGTTTGGACTGGAATCGGCGCCACGCCACACCACCACAGTTGTTTATTATTATTATTATTATCCCGGCCTTTTGAGTGGACACAGAATATAATAAACTTTCATAGTTTGATTATAATGCTTATGATTGAATAAATTGAAAATTGAATTAAATTGAAACTTCAAATTTTGTATTTTGAAGCACTGCCTTGTGGTTGGAGTGGAACTGGAAACTCGTTTTTTCATATCAAATTCGGAAAAAATTAGTTATTTTTCTAACAAGTGCGGGAAATACCATTTCTCGCAAGTGTTAAGTCTAGTACCCATAACAGCGAAATTCGCTCTTTTTTGACATTTCTTCGACAATTTGACGTTCTATGCGTGAATCAAACGTCAAATTGTTGAAGCAATGTCGAAAAAGAGCGAATTTCGCTGTTATGAGTACTAGGCTTAAGGAACACAATTTTTCTCAAGGGTGTGCGGAAAGATTACTCTTTGTGCATGCCAACAGTTTTTTTTTCGCACATTCGTAGGAAAAAAACGGATCATCTAAAGCCGCTTTCCAGCTGTGTGCTCCAAGCACGGTGCAGCACAGTGTTCTGTGTTTGAAACGTAAAAGTTAACAGCTCTCGAACCGTAGTACGGCTGGAACACGAACACGCGCTTGAAGCATTTGCGCGCGCAAAAGCTCGATTGCGTGCTCAAAAGCGTCAGCTGGAAAGCGGCTTTAATTTCAAGTGTCCAGAAAATGGCAGAGATTATCCTGTTTTCAATCCCTAGTAGGACTGCTTATTGAGCTAGAAGTGTTGCCAACGGCTAGGTCAGCTGCATGGGTACTTCAACTCTTGGAGTAAAATGCATTATTCGATAAAGCACACAAAAAAATGACTTCTTAAACGTTAAAATCTTGTTAAAATCACCTTTTCTACATTTAAAATCGACGAAAAAATGAAATAACGAGCACAGCCTGAATCGCAATCCTTCCATCGAGGTCTGCGGGTGACGTCATCACTATTAGCAGCTGTGGCGACGTCACCTGCAGACCCTGCCTGCTCAAGAATTGGTGAACGTACGCCTTATTAGGACAAGCAATCCTGTTTACGATTGTTGTATAAAAATGTCGAAAATCCCAACAAAATCCTAATCTTTGATTGCACAAACAAACTAGCATCTGCAAAAAGTTTTTCTGACCATTGAAAAATAAACAATTCTCGTCAAAAATCATTTTCTGTAACTTGAAAACATTACCTACATATTTTAAAAACTGATGTTTTCGTCACTCGTTAAACAATAAACATTGTCCGCACCTGTTAGGAAAATCTCACCCAAACAAAATAATATACTTTGATGTCAATTTGGCAACGCTGCACTCCTTGCCTTAACCTTTTAGAATTGTTTTGGTGCTACTACCAAGCTCTTGTTATAATTTCAAAGCTAATGTGTCTGTGATCTGAACAACTCACCTCATTAGTCACATGCCACTTTTTCACGAAGCCACTAACAAATGTTGTAGATACCGTGATGTCGAGTACCTCCTTTCTAGCAGTTGTTACAAAGGTGGGTTTATTTCCCACGTTCAATATGTCTAAACTTTTTGCCATAATAAATTGTAGTAATGACCCATCTCTGTTGTTGGTTTTTGTGCTGTCCCATATAGTATGATGCGCATTTGCATTACATCCCATTATGAGTTGCGATGCTTTTGCCCTGCAACTTATTACCAGGTTTTGTACTTCTCTGGATGGTGGCTCTCGACGATCATCTCCTGGAAGGTAGGCAGATCCGAGTACTAGCTCCCTCTGCTCACCTCCAGCTGACAATCTAATTTTTACCGCAACAAGGTCCCTAAAACAGAATTCCGTTAGCGGTAACGTTTTTATGTTTTTCTTAACTAGTATGCAAGCTCTAGGGGTTTCAGTGGATCCGCTGTATATTAGCTCTCCATTGATTCCCGACAAGACTGTGATTTTCCCTTCCTTACCCATGGTTCCTGTACGAGTGCAATGTCCTTTTCCATGGTCCTAGTTAGAGCTGCCAGAGTTCTCCCAGTCCCTTCACCTCCTGTCCCAGCCAGTTTTTGGTGGCCTCATTTTTGCAGGACATCCATAGAACTCCTGCATGGAACGAGGTTCTGTTAAACTGGAGTGTTTCGCTGCTTGCCCCTGGCGCGTCCAAGACAGTTTCCTCCAGTTTGATCAGGTCTACTTGCCCTTGATCAATTTTTACCTCAGGATGTCTGCTGTCGCTGACATGGCTGTCATCCAAGCCGCACTAACTATAAGGAACAGAAAATAAATTGTTTCTATAATACATTTTAATTTTAATAATTTCAATATTTATCGCTCGGTACTACAAATACATCAACTGTTTTTCTGTTATCAGATTAAAATTTTTAAATATTATCGACATCCTAATATGAACCTATTTGTTGCGTCGATCACGTGAAACACAGTCATCGTTTTGACTGTGACATCGTCTTCTCGGATATGAATACACTATATAAGTTCAATAATTTTTGGGTGCATGAGCAATAAATTGGCTCTCACAAATACTTGTAAAAAAAAAAAAACATAAAAATATACAACTTTACATACCAGGAATAAACATCTATCGAAAATTAAAATTAAAAATTGTTTCAGATGCTGCTGTACAAATTAAACCTATGAAAAGAACAGGGGATACGGACCAAACCGGTCCTCTTAAAAAAATCAAGATTGAAGTTGAGACATGAACTTGGCCAAAACCTGCATGAGATTCTTTTTATTTTTTCATTATTGACTTCTTCAGGCTGGTATTTATTTACAATTTTTATCATTGCCTGCCAGGTAAATCAACATCAAGCATACCCTTGTAAATAATAATATTAATAGCTTGCATCTTTACTATTTCGCTTTTTAGGCCTATTCGTGTTAATTTTTTCAATAGATGATTTACAAGATATTTCTTTCTAAAGAAGTCAATAAAGAGTTGACAAAACTAATCCTTTTAAGCGAAATAATGTTGTATCTTAAATTAAAATTTAGTAATAACATTAGTAATAATAATTTAAATATATGTATAAGAGGGTCAAAATCAGCTTGATGCATTTTTTTTATATGTTATTGGCCCTGTTAACCAAGAGTTTTTGTTTTCTTTCGATGTATATACATGGTGGGGCACGAAAAACTTTCCACTCAGGTGATTATTCATTATCACCTAAAACCTGAGAGAACCTGGGTGAAAAGTTTATGTGTCCCACAATATATATATATATAGTACAGTGTGCATCAGCCGAATGGAATACATTCGATATAAGATAATAAACGGAAAGTGCAATTTAAAAAAATAAAGTAGATACTGGCACAGCTGCTCTTGGAACATTCTGTATAAAAAAACTTTTTGAAAAAAATGTTTTGCAAAAAAACAAAATCGACGGCTCCAAGCGTTTTTCCAAACAGGCCCTCATTTATTTATAAATTTTTGGCTGATACACACTTTACAGTAAATATACCAATCGTTGAATTCACTTCGAATTTACTTTTAATTCTTTTTAAATGTTTGACGATGGAACATCTATTTCCATGAGTAGTAATATTGAAATGTATACATTTTTTCTGTGTTTACGCATAACCTAACTTGGGAATAAGTGCAGAAAAGTGTATTTTCTTGTTTTTGTTTTTACCAAAAAAATCTGGACAATGTTGTTTGTTATATACATATATTATAATATTATATAGGTAATTGGGATGACCCTAAATATAGTTTAGGATCTTCTTTTTACTATTAGTCTACTTTATTTTGTATTCTAGTTTTTAGTCTTTATTTTGTAATAAGTGTGCACATAGGAACAGTTTCTTTATTATCGTCAATATTCGACACACGAGTGATTTTTTATGGCCTATGTGCATACAAATCAATTGTAGACCTCCACTATGTGTTGGCTCACTTCTTGGCATAATGACATAAAAACCCCATTTCTCTGTAAACTACGATTTTGGTGTTGCGAATATTGGACTATAAAAATATTCACATAATCAAACTTCCACAGAAAAATAAACAAGAGTGCCCTAGGCAAACAGGCTGTCTGTCGCCCCATTTTTCCCTCAATTTTGTGTCGTTTTTGCTGCCTAGTTCGCCTAATGGTTGCGCCGGCTCCGGAAAAAAAAACCCAGCCAAGTTTTATGTGTTGATAAAGAAGCAGACAATAATAAATTTAGTTCACCATAAATTTAATTATCAATTAATTGTAAAGACTTACTACGGATCAAACATTTTATTATTGATAAAGTATATTTGGATACCTACTCATTTAATTATATTGTTGTTAAAATGCTTCACCATCTGAAAAATCAAACTTGAACATGACAACTGATGATCAATTTCGAACTTCATATTCCTTGAATGTCCAATCAATGCTATACAAAACAACGACTTATACAGCACCCTAAGCAGGGATAACCATGCCCTACCACTGTCAATATCCACAGTACTTGGAAAACTGAACAACAACACAATTACCAACAACAAAATAGAACTATATCCTTGGCATGTTTCAAACAATAATAACTCGTACCAGTAAAGTAAAAGACATCATCATGCAAAAATAATGTTAATTGAAAAAAAAAAGAAAATAAAAATAAAAGTACCTGATACAAAAGACAAAATAAGGAATTATCCTTCACAGATTCTTACAAGTTTAATGTCAATCACCTAAACCACACAGAAAAATAGGGACAAGGACAAACATCCACATAAAGAGCACCAACAATCACACCTCTGCAATCGCAGAAATACGAAATAATAGTGCCACAATGATAAAATAGGGCAGAATTATATTTACTTGCCATTTCACAGTACAATAATGCTTAGTCCAATAGAAACAATCTTATATTTAGATGTGTGTACAACTAATCAATCACATTGTTATTATCAGCTGAACAGAACATCAAATAATATTAAATGTTGAGTGTTGAAAAAAAAAACACAACATGGACCTGCAGACTAGGTAATTAGATAAAAGAAAAATTTAAATGAGCAAAACGATAGGCATAACATGTGGTGACTCTTAAGCCTCGTTCTCAGAGCTTTGTTGCTGGCGACAGCTTTTTGACCAATAGAACGTCGAGGTCAATTTTCCCCTAGTCCCCACTCTTCTGTCGCCGGCGACACTCGCTGTGGTTGAAATTTTTCAACTTCACCGCGTGTCGCTGGTTTTGGTAGCCATTTATGGTTTGTTTAGGACTTTTCGGAAACGCTGATCTGATCAATCCGATCGCCAGCTGATGTAATTTGTCTTTTTTCAATCGTGTTTATTAATGAAAGATAAAAAACAAAACTGCTGATCAGCGTTTCCAAAAAGGCTGTGTTGTGACTGACTATTTTGGAGTTTTGTTGTGTTGTTTTGTGCATACTTATTTTATGCTAGTAAAAGCCATTGTCCATCATTCATAATATTAATAACCAACAAAATTCACAAATATTTCAAACAATTGAGAAAAAAAAACAAAAAAACAAGTGGAAGGTAAACAAAATAATATAAATGTTGGTTAGATCTAAACGACGCGACAGCTAAAGTTATCTGGTACCGCCATCAGGTCAATAATTCAGGAAAAGAGGGAATGGAATGTGTCGCAGCCACAGAATGAAGCTTTAAAAAGGCAGCTGTGCCACATTATGATAAAACCAACAACAAAACAATTACTAGATAGGTTGGTTGTGACTTCTTGAACTCCCCGTCCAGCTTTTTTTCCAGTTCTGCACATTATACTGTCTTGACTTATTTAGAGGGACGCCGCGCTGCGTGGTCACGTAACTTTTTACCAAGAAATTATTCGCAATAAATAACAATATTAGTGCCAAATTTGATAATTCTCCTGAGTTAGTGAAAAGTTCAGTATCGTAGAAGAAAGGGACACATTGCGGGCAATCTACATAATACGTTTACATCTTCTTAATAGGTTCTTATTTCAAATAATATTGTTTAGATGTCAATTTGTAAAATTTCAATCAAAAACCTATATAAATTTGGTGCATGTTTCTGAATGGAAATTAGTTTTTTTTTTGGATCATAAAGTGGGTTGTAAAACAATTGAGCAAAAAATTAACAAAATGGTTTTAAGGGTCTATTGGCTGGGTAAACTTTTCACAAGGAGAGGGAACTGTTCAGTGCTTGTTATTAATGTTGAGTGTTTACGGTTATTGAGGCGTATTCATATCTCATGATAAGTTTCACTCAGTGGTAGCTTGTAACATTTCAAAATGAGGAGGCTGTCAGGTTTTTGTGGCAGAATTTGGAGTAACGGTGCAGGCTTGCGCCATTGGCGAAAAAACTTTCCGCGTCACTCTGTCCAATAATGTTCAAGAAATTATTGGAAACACTAACTTGCACTTATATTGGGTCGAGTGCCAAATATACTATATGTCGAGTAAAAGCTATCAATTCCATTTTCTTTTCACATTTAAGGTAGACAGACGGTTTCTTACAAACAAAAAATGTCACTCTGATTAAAAGTATACAAGTGGGAGTTATAGAGATCAATCTTTCTCTGCTAAATTTTATTGTGAACAAAAAATACTACAATACCCACGCAACTGGAAACAAATTCTGGCGACCTTATTAATTAGCAGCTAGCCTTTTTTTGCGGATTTCTTAAGCCTCCTTTGAAGAGCTTGCACTCTTTTTACTGGTGGTGTAATCTTATTGTGTCCTTTTTCAAGTGTGTGTATGGGATTCAATACTTTTTATTTCATATACAGTTTGTACATCAAATTATTACATATTAATGATAATAAAATCATCAGAAAATTGAATTCAACAATAAATATGTACTAAATATATTGTATATTCTAAAACCCTAATTTGTGAATTGTATAGAAATCATTAAAAACTAAGATAAGAATTTTAAGAAAACCATCTTCAATGAGAGAATATTTGAAGGTGGTGGTAGTAAGTAGTAATATTTATGGTTTTATATTTGGGACAAAAACCTCTTTTTATTTTTATTTATATACATTTTATATATTTTTTGTTTTTTATTAGGTATGCATGAACACTTATTTAAGCTTTCAAAACTGCTTTTTTAAATGTATATAGTTATTTTGTAAAGCCCTTGTTGTAATTGTTTCATCGTCATGTCATTTAACTTTTTTGTTGTAAATAAATCAGGGGAAAACAATATTCTGTATTTTTGATTACGTTTTATCCAATTTCCCCTAACGACCACATCAGTATTAAGAGGAATGAACAGTCTTTTTCCATGAAATGACTGCCTGCTGCGAGATTGATCAGTCCTAGTAGTCCATGCCAGTCAGCAAACTTTATCTACATTCACAAAACATAGTATATTATCATTTATTATAGAACAAGTCTATAACATATTCATACGGAAGAGACTGGATGTGGTGAAGGACGACCTCAACGGGTCATGCCACCTAGTGTGTCCCCCGTGTGCATCCTTCCAGCTCCAGTCAATCCATTTAGGTCATCTTCCAGTCTAAAGCCTTGAAAAAAGCGGAGATGTAGCCTGAGGTCACTTCCCTCAGAAACGCCTAGCCTAGGTCCGACACAGCTTCACAATAGCAGAGCAGATACTTCATTGTTTTGTTCTCCTGTTCACAACCTCTGCACAGAGGCAATTCGCTCAATTCCTTCGAATGGAAATTTTAGTTGACAGTCGCCGTTCAAAAACCCCGTAGATTTTTCCTAATCCATCGCGTATCTGGCGATAGATACGTCTTTGCTGCAACTTCATTAGGGTAGCGGAGCAGCTTCCTAGCTAGTTGACAGGTGGTAGTCTAGTCCCATCTTTACATGTAGTTCTCATTGGTGATCTTTTTGAAAATCTGAGGGCCAGACCTCATAATTAGGTTGTATTCCTTTCGAAAAGTGTTTGTTGCACCTGAGTGCTCAAGCCCGACTCAAACCATTTGAATGCATGAAAGTCAGCACATCTGTTCCTTTCAAATCGGGGTCGACTCAGTGGGGTCGACTAACACCAGAGCGAGTAGCTCTAGCGTTTCAAGCTCTTGAAAGGAATACAACTAATATAGATGATTTGGCTGGCAGTTTGTACGCAAATTAGTCAAGTATGATTGTACGTACTCTGCTCAAAAACCATAATAGAGATCTCCGTTTTTGTTGAAAAGTCTGGAAGAGTTGCATTACATCATCACTACTGCCTTCAACAGGTAGGTATATGCTTACCAGAATGAAAATCGATAGAACTAGCCCTAAATAACCTGGAGGCAAGGATCTCACAGTCTCTCAATAATAAGAGTCGCAGTAGGAACATTGTTAGGTATCGAACAATGCCTTACCAGAATCCCTATACAGGCTAACAATTTGAAAAGTAGTGCGATTTCAGATTTTGCTATAGGAGGAGCTATCCCACGATGTGCAACACAAAGTAGGTTCGTATTAAAAAAAAATAAGTTCGGGTAGCTAGCCCCTAAGTGATGAGGCGGGGTGAATCACAAAGTGCCTCATGGTTCCCCCTTCAATCCTCCGATACGTATTTGAGATCTTCTTGATAGTATTTTTGGTCTAAGAGATATTCCGGATTGCTACTTTTCAAATTGTCACCCTACCTGTATGTATAAAGCACTTTGTTCAGAGGATATTGAACCGCAAACAAGCGAGTGGATTTGATGCTGGATAACGATAACCGCATCGTTAGTTGTGGCCTTGATACAACTGCGCGTTGTTTCCAGAATTCTAGCATTTCTCTTGACGTCACTCAGCTCTTGGGTCCTCCATTTTGTGTGATATCTTCAGAGGACGTGATGATTCAAAAGCTTCTCATTGGGGCAGTCGGTCAGCCAAAAATACGGCCTTCCAGTTTGTAGTTGTCACTGGCGAAATCATGTTCCTCTTCCATGTCCTATAGGTTCACCTGAAGCTGATCCAAGAACCTAATCGGTATCACTTGTTCGGGGGTCTCTAAATAATTTTCCGGTTGCCTTGGTTAGGTTAAGCTTAATTATTGTGAGCCGGTGATGATCGAACATCGTAACCAGTAGTGTCTGATACCTGCCAGTTTTGGAGTGATTGAAAGATAGAGCTACCGAAACGAGCATAAGATGAATTATTATACTTCGACTTCTAGGGTTTGTAAATGCTGACTCCTCACTGCTCCACAATAATTCACAATTTTTGAGGGGTCTTCTTAGATGGTAGCCCACCTGTCAATTGCACAGTACCCCTGCTGTAAGATGAATTGCCAAGAAGACGACTGGAGGTGCGAGTGGAGAGGTGAGCATAGTCATTTCTCGCCGCCTCTTCCTGCTGGCAGATTATGAAGTTTCACATTTAGAGAAGACAAATCCAAGGATTAAAATTTTCGGCATACAAAAATCCCTATCCTACCTGAAAATCTTCTAAAGTCAGAACTTAGTCAGCTAAAAAAAATTGATAACCAGCCGAAAGATTTCTTTTTCAATATATTGAATATCTCCTGAAAACCGTAATTAAATGTTCAGTATATTAACCGAGGTTAACACTGAACACTTTTGAACTATTTTTAAAACTGACCGGGATTATGTCTGAGATGTACGAGTTTATTGAAATAATGAAATTTTATGAGTATTAATGGACCATATCACGGTGACGACAAAGGATTCTACTGGAAAAAGAGCTCGTCCAAGATGTACTAATGTACTGTGAACATGATCAAAATGAATGTCAAGGAAAAAAAAAAATATATAAATTAAAGTAAAATGTCGAGCATGCTGTCTGGAATCGTTTATGTAAGTTTTTGCTGAAAGTAGAAGAGTTGCGTTGGAGTAACACTAACTACATAATATGTAATAATCTCTCAGAAAATTAGCAATTAGAAATAGAATGTCGGAATGTACAGAGTCTTTTTAATAAGTTCGATGAAGTCAAAAAGTACATATTGGAAGCAAAGTATGTAATTACACACGAGATAGATATTACTGATTATTTTTGCATTAGATGTGATTCAAGTCCCAGGTATACTGGCTCAGTTGTTTGTTTTGCTCATAATAAATATTTTTCTAACATCGGGACGGGACTTCTTTATGCATTGATGGGGTTATGTGGCTTTGTTGGTTTGAAATTGACCAGAACATCTTTGTCAGATTGTATATATCTCCAAATTTTAGACCAGCAGACTTTTTCGCAATTATGGATGAATTTCTTGAAGGCATTTCAATCAGGACTAAACATGTAAGTATATGTGATCACATCATGTGATTGGTGACCTGAACATTGGAAGAATTTAGGCCAATTAACATGGAGAGTGGATTTAGGGAAAAACATTCGTGCAAGACTTCCTTACCTTACAACTAGTGATTTCAAAGTGAAAGGAACATAAAGACAATGATAGTAATGTGGTGACTGTATTTCTTGATTTTAAACGAGCTTTTGAAGGTGTAGATAGATAAATTTTATTGCAGAAGCTGGCAAAATATGGGATTTGTTATAGCGCCTACAAATGGTTTGAAAGCTACCTGTTAGGAAGATATGAGGTGACAAAAGTGAATGGAATTTTTTCTGAAATAAAGGTAATCAAATTGGAGTGCCTCCCCGTAGAGTGTGGGGAGCAATATTGTTCTTGATCTGTATCAATGCAATGATATAGATGAATGTTTTTGTAAGAGTACCTGTAGTGAATTTGTTTGCTCATGATATATGTATGTCTGTTAACGATAAAAATGTGAATGTTGCAGTTAGTAAAATGTGTCGAGAATTAAAGAACGTTAAAGAGTGGTTTGGGGGAAGAATATGGTTTGTCAATGTCAAAAACACTAATGTTATGATACTCAATAATAAGTAGAATCAAAAATGTTGCTAAATTAAAGTGATTTGGTCAGGAGTTGGAATATATTCATATAAATTTAAATATTTAGGTAGGTACCTATACCTATAGTATTTATAATTGATATATGGTTAAGTTTTAAAAGTCATGGTGACTATATATGTAATAGAAAAGGTCAACAAAAAAAAATGGGGTTTTCAGAAGAATTTGCTACTCGTTATCACCGAATTCACATATTACTGTATAAAACAATATTTAATTCATCCACTTTTTGAGTAGGTACTGTCCTAGTGTTATTTGTTAATAAAAGAGAAAAATATAGGCTGGAGATACTGCAAAATGAAACTATGCGGATTGTATTGAGAGTAGATGGTTGTACAAGAGTTTCTTTCAGGCTAGAGACCTTGTAATTTATGCAGTGGCGTAGCTAGGTTGGACGGGGCCCCGGTACAAATAAATTGCAGAGGCCCCTCAGTTGAATTAATAAGTATTGTCACAATAAGCTAAACGTCCGCCAGGCTGTCAAGAATCGATCGCGGAAATACTAGAATCTAGCGAATTATTCTACTTTAATCTGGAAAATTAGATTATCGTGTGTATTCTAGATTTCACAGGAATAGATTTAGGGATATATAAGAAGGCCGGCATTGGTTTGTAAGTTTAGTTTCAGTTCGACTGTGATACGATTTAAATAGTGATTGTAAAGAGTTTAATTGTTGAGTTTGTTAATAAAGTAATTAGTGTCAGAGTGTTTTGTTAAGTGGAATAAATTATTGCTGTGTTAATTGGACTTTGATTTTTGGAATAAACGAAACGAACAACGAACCCAAGATTTTTGTCAGCAGGCAACCCAAAGCCGCGACAGTATTAAAAATGAAAATAACAAATGTGAATTTGTCTTCAATAGGTTCAATGAAACAAATAACAGAATTAAAAAACTTGAACAATTTAAAAAAAATAAATGGATTCTATAAAACAACAATAATTAGTGAACAACTCAAAAATATATTCAGCCTTATATAAAGTATTCAGCATGTACAATAAATCAGATCCGAGAGTTTGAGGACATGTGAAAGAAAACTACAGTTAGTGTTGGTAAATTGAATATTGCTATCTGTTGTTGTATTGTATTGTAGCAGATTGTTGCTAATAAACGTAATATAATACCAACACTTCTCTGCAGATGTGAACCCTGGACAGCCTACTACCTAAGTTGTTTAGAGAAATATCACCAGCGCTGCTTGAGAAGAATACTAAAAATAAACTGGCAGGATCTTCGAACAAACAACAGAGTATCCTTCAATAAACTAAATTCCGCTAGCATTGAGGCACTACTCATCCAACGTCAGCTATGCTTGGCTGGTCTTGCCGTCCGCAGGCCAGACTCAGTCTGGTCTAAGCAAATAATGTATTCCCAACTAAAAAATAGCCAACATAGCATAGGAGGTAGGGCAATTCAAACGACACAAAGATGTCCTCTAGGCCAACATGAAAATGAATGGATTCGGAGGACAAATGTCATCATAGACATAAACGAGAACGTCCGATTAAAGTTGCTTTACAACAGCCACCGGCTACCGCTGATTGGGTGTGCAATCAATGTGGGAGAAATTGTGGGTCCAGAATAGACTTATTTAGCCATCAAAGAACCCATAGATAATAATGCTGCCAAGATTCTTATTACTCGTTAGCGAGTGACTGCCTATGATTATGATGATGAATAATAATGATGCATGAATCAAGGAAAGCCAAATTTGGTTTTCAAAATTTACATTTCTAGGAATTTATTGTTAAGCCGGTTGACTCAATTATCTCATAAACCTTATATAAAGAGTATATGTAATATGATCAGGAAAAGGAAAACTATTCACTACAACCTAAACAAAAATATAATTTTCAGTCAATAGATAGAGGGGACAACCTATCCATCAAAGTTTGCATAGTCTGGCCAGCATTGCACAGATCAAATATGGCATGCGTACAAATTCAAAATTCCCTCGTCCACAATGGAGAAATAATTATTTCATCAAGTTGTTGTTTGATTGCCCACAATTTAATTTTTATCAGCAGTAAAACTTTTCCATATTTTTAAAAATTTTGTAGTTTCGAGAAAGGCACAGAGACTCCAGCCGATACTTTACCAATGAAAGAAAAAAAAAAAAAAAACAGAGCATTTCATCCAAGATGTTTCATTGGACTCACCTCAGGAAATTCTAACACCACAAATACAATGTTTTCTGAATTTCACAACTTGAGATGTGCTACCCCGAAGCAGGGCGACACTTGACTGACTGACATTATCTTCCATCACTTATTCAAAAGTGCATTATTATTATTCCATTTAGCGGTAGTTAAAACAAAATTATCACATAAACAGAAAAAATGTTATGCTATGCTTACAACGCTTTTACGTGAAAAACGTGCGTTTCCCTTGCGCTATCCTGTATAATGTATAACAAAAATAGCTCAAAAAAGCGGCCCCTTTTGGATTCTGTATCCCGATACCGGTAAGTGAGGGCCGCAGCCAGATTGTCGCAACATTTCCAGTAGATAATTTTGGGAAATCCCAGTGATTATAGCGACACGTGACGTGAGGCAAATTTGATGCATTAGCAGCATTAAGTAAAGAGTGTACCTAATAGAGACAGTAGGTACTTTCTACTATTGTGAATATCTAATTTTGTAAATTATCTGGCTTCTCTTCAGAAGAAGACTATAAAGGCAATAGCAAGAAAAAAATCTCCTCTCCTCTTCTGTCTTCGGATGATGCTAAAATCGCGAGCACGCAGCAAGAGAAGGGAACCGAAAAAAATAGGGGGCATAAAATTCATAACGACTCAAATTTGTTCCAGAATTAAATCTTTTCTTAAATATTACAACGCCACGCGTTTCTTCCCACTATTTTCGCATTTAACAATTTTTTTTTACCAAACGCGCATAGGTACCTACTTTTGCGAGCTCGCGGCACTCTGTGTGTTTAATATTAGCAATCAATGTATATGTAATTTATCGATACAATTACATCAAAATAAAAAACAACCAACATCATTTTCGTAATACCTACTATACTACTACCTACCTGAAAAATAACAAAAAATCTTGCTCCGCCACTGCAACACATTCAAAACACCAAGAAAAGTGATTGACCCTTGGGTGATACCTATGTGGCTAAACAAAAACGAAAATCAGGTAGCTATCGCAAATTCCTGATAACTTCCCAAGGACTCTCGATTATCGACCATATTCCTCTGGCTCGGCGCATGGCATTTATTTCCACATTGTACATCAACATCCAAATAATCCCGGGGACGAAAAAGAAAATTTCATGTCGCGCACCGTGACAAATCCAGACGAATTCCATTGAATTTCATTATGACTGATGTACCACAACTTAAGTCTTACCTGTTAGAAAAGAGTGCGATACAAGGTTATAGTGCGAGTGAATTTTCGGATTTTTTATCAAAAAGGCTTCCACCATTCTGGCTCCAGAGATTTTGGCAAGTCTGCAAACTACTACTAACAGGAGTGGCAGCAGACTTACAAGAACTAATAATGGCGAGACCCCAATGCCCCTTAGGTCTTCCGAATTTTATTCATCTTTCGACACACTTTATCCTTTATCTTCGAAGACTAAACTTTCACAGAAACAGTCATTTTCATTTGATAGCTACTGGAAAAAGTCTAGTTCGCAACAAAACATCGCCGAAGAAGCATCATCGAATAATAGATCCAGTAATAGGTAATTTTTTTTAACGCTAAATAGATCAGCTGGGATATTGTAGATCAATGTCATCAATAAAATTAAACAAGAACATTTTTTCCTAAACACATCTTTTTCCACACGTGTATTGGAAATGTCATTAATAAAATTGAACAAGAACATTATTTCCTAAACACATATTTTTCTACATGTGTATTGGAATTTGTTTTTGGGAACCTAAATAAATAGGTACCCACCTACATATTGATAACATAAAAAACAATATATGTTCATAAAATTCTATTTCTGTTTGTGGATTGTTTTGTCACAAGTAAAATGAGTTCTCTGATTGCCAAATGAGTTGGATTTCGTATAAACTTTAGGCCATATGAGTCAGCCCCACAAATTATAAATTATTCTTATTGTAGCTACTACTTATGCGAAGAAACAATTTATTTCTGAAATATGCTCTTAAAGTGAATGCTGGATCATTTTATTTAAAAAATGGCAATTTGCCGAAAAAACCTTTCTGGTTCTATAACGAACCGAAAACAGACTTTCACTAAAACCTCTAGTATTCAACACCACAGAGCAGAGTTAGGCATATCATTATAAGTATCTTGCTGAAATTGAGACGTCTTAAATTTGAAAACTAGATATTAGTAAGTATAGAGACACTTCTGGCACCCACGCCTCTATTGAAAGAGGCGAAATTCGTGATATGCTCTCTTTCCTACTCTTGAATTTGATTTCGATCTCTGAAAGCTAGAAATTGGTGTGAGAGGATGCTTCTGCCGAATAGAGCCTTTAGGCTGTCATGCCTAACGTTCCACAAGCTGCCAGTCGGAACATTTTTCTAATCATTTTCGAGTGTACATCTGGAATTAGTAATTAACTAAAGACAGAGGAATATTTCTGGCGCACCAGTTTTCCAGTTATCAGAGACAAAAATCATGTCCGTCATGGTTTTCGCGGGGCCTCTAAAAACTCTTCTCTTTACTAATAATAACAAATTTTTTTCACTACTAACCTAAAAAGTAGTCATTATTCAATCTATTTTTCTGGGAAAAAATTAAATTTCTCTCCCTAGCAGGTTAATAATGAAAATAATGAAAAAATACCTAGGTCAATAATGAAAATGACGTCATGACGCAAGAATATTGTCATAACGTAACAGGTTTCTATTGGTTTAATTTCAATTTCAAACTGTCAATTTTTAAAAAAAGCAGGTTCTTGTATGTACATTATAGGAAATTACCATAAGCTGTTGATAGAGGGCAGCACTTCCGACAAGAAAAAAATAAGTTGAGCGCAGATTTCAAACCTATTTTTTATTTTCTACTAGCAGTAGTAAAAAAAATTCCATATATTCCTCGGTATAGAGAAAGTCATTATACCTTACGCATTAAAAAAGCGCTCGGTATATAATGACCAACTTCTCTACCTAGGTATATAATGTACTATTATTGAACTAATTGAGTTAAGAAAATTTACTAATTTCTCTGATCTCTGATTCCTAATCGCTTCTACTTAAATTTTTAAGTGCTATAATTCTCTTATTTAAACTGACTTACAAACTACGTGCTTCACTTACAAAAACATTAATTCGAGAAATCTCTGTCAAAGTGCGCCACGCCCTCTTCTCCGTCTATACCTACACTCAGATCCATAATGACTTCATCTATTGTTCTTCATCCCCCTACTACTAGCAGTACTGATGCCTTTCATCGTGAACTCAGAACCATGTCTTTGGAAATAATATCCTCAAGATTTATCTTCTTTGTCATACTCGTAATCTTCTTTATTAGCCCATCTATCCATTCTATCCACATGCTTATTAAATTTCTACCTGTCAAATGAATCCCCACTGTGATGCCTTTCCCTTCCGTCCATCCAGATCACGCATGCTTCTTCTTCCTGTTCCTGTTCTGAGGGCACGGGAACTAGAAGAATAGCCATCTCTTCTTATTAAGGTACGGCCATGCTGCCAGACTCCTTGTCTGCGCATTCTCGCACGATGTACGCACTTGTAGCAGGTATTGCTTTTCGTGGGAATCTATAGAGCGGCTGTTTGAAGGACCTTCTGGATCAGGAGTCATATCCCACCAATCTTCTTGTTCCCGGTTTTTGATGTTGTGTATTATTTCCGGTGATTTTCTTTAGGGTCGAAAACGGCTTCCTGTCACCATCTTCTAATTAATCAATTCTAATCTATTGAAAACTCGTCGTCCTTGTTTCGTTTTAAATCGAATGCATCTTATAGGAACTCTTTCATCTCGCTGATTAATTCTGAGGTAGTGCTTGTATTGATTTGGCGTTGCTATGCAGTTTACCATAACGATGTTCGATTTGAGAATCGTAAGATTGCAACTTCCCTATCGAAGGCTGAGAGTCAGATGGAGAGCGAGATCTCAGCTATCATCTACATCCATGTTTAAAATTTCCTTTTTTTTCGCAGTGGTAAAATTCGGTCCCCCTTTCCAAGATCCCTTGATTGATTCTGTTAACAAACGTATTTCTTCCAGAAGTTCCTCCATTGTGTCTTTAATTTCTCCTATTGACTATTTCTTTTTGGATTGACACAGCTCTGATATTTGGTTTGTATATCTAATTAGCCGCTCCGATTTCTATGGGTTTGATTAGAGCTATGCTGCTACTTGATGATTTGGTTATGAGCAGGATTCTATGTACATTCGAATACCTCTAAGTTCCTTGATGAAATTATCAGCTGCTAGTTCTCACATTCGTACTGCTGCATTGGGTAGCCCAAATCAACCAGACGGCGGATATCGGTTTCAAAACCGAGTTCAGCTGAACTCGACTGGTACTTGAACTTCCCCATTTGGAATGCATTGCTGTCAAAAATGATAGAATTTGATAAATAGCTGACAGCAATGTATTTTAAATGGGAAAGCTCAAGTACCAGTCGAGTTTAGTTGAACTTTGTTTTGAACTGAGATTGTACAACTGGGCCTTAAACTTTCCACAGGCTGGCAGAAGAATCTCTGATAGTTCTAAGGCATAGCTGCGAAATGTTACAATCAAGCGTATTTCGATGTCATGAGAGATCCAAACATAAGCCATCACAGCGCAGTCTCGAACTGACGCCTGGTATATCGCTCACGATGGCTGACCGTCGTTTGGTAGTGATTTCACTTTGATACAGGTTGCAGGCGAAGCTAATACATTACCTGATCTCAAAATATTCCAATTTTCAAATTTTTCTCCGAGCCCAGTTTGTTTTTTATAGATTAAGTATTGAAATTTGAATCCATTCGCGCTAAAGCTGGTCCTGTTTATCTGGTCTCCGGACTTCGTCTTTTTTGTTTTTGTTTTTGTCTTCAGGCTTCCTCTTCTTGTTTCTCTTTTAATCTCGATCTTCTTGTTATTGTGAAAGCTGGTCCTGTTGTTTTTTTTTTGGGGCTTTTTCTCCTTTCCTCCGAACTTAATGTTGCTGTAAAAAGACTGAAAGACTTGAATCTTGTCTTCGATATTTTTCTGAAGTCCACAAACATTCCAATAACTTGTTCCATTTCGACGGTTCGCTGTCGTCGTATTTACCATAAAATGCTGTATCTCTCTTGAAACTTAATTTTTTAAATATTAATTCCGGTGGCGAAAATAACATTCTCGTACCGTGTCTAATTTTCAAATGGAACATGACGGAATGAAAGAATTACTCTATAAACTTATTTTTGATGTGAAAACCAAAAACCAGTAACAGCGTCCCTTTATCGATTCAACAAAAGTTCACTGAATGCTCCGATCGGCTCAAATCAATCTGCTATTTATCTTGCTAATAACCCCTCTAATTAGCTAGCATAATCTAATGCACCAATCCTCAAGCTTATAATCCTCCTAATTATCTCAAACTAATCCCCTAGCCCACGCCAATTATTTCACTCCATTCAGCTCAAATGAGTGAACCAATTTTCTTGCTAATATCTCATTTCGTACACCAAATTGTCACAGTTTCCGCGGATCCACTAGAAACTCTCTTTACTAATACCTAATGATTAATTTTATTGAAGTAATTCACTGATCACTTATCGCTTTATATAACATTTTTCTTATTCAAACTGATTCACTCACTTAATGCGCTCTGGTCGTGAAATAGCGCCAAACTCTCCCCTAGCAGTGTAATTTCGTTACAACATGATTCTCGCTTCTGAAAACTTCGAATTGCTGGTGTAGTAACCTTTCCTTGCTTCTTCAAGTGCCTATCTGTTCTGGGACTGTTCATGACTGTCATCCATCAACTTCATTTAATGCTGCGCGGAAAGTTCAATGGCAGTAGTTGAGAATCAAGAAGACATTTTTTAACCAAGATATTAAGATATTTTCGAGTACTTTGCCATGCATTATGCGCTGTAGTAGACCGAGTAGACCATACTGATGTTCGTTGCGCTTAATGTGCCCCAGATACTCAAGCATTCTAAAGTAGGAAATCAATTCCCTAACTCTTGTGCAGATATTCTGGTACAATTTCAATGTAGCATTTTTTGGTATAGAATTCAGTTGTTTCTTCTGGAACTGTTTGTGATCTACAACCGTCAAGTAGAACAGATAAGACGTAGCAGCGCAAAAGTGTTATTCGCGTGTTCACGGTTTGCTCGTTTTAATAAAGGATGCTTTAGATTTTTCGATGCGGGCCAAGATTTCTTTTAAGTGATGCCATCAGGACACTGGCCGTCGAGATTTTTTCAGAGACTTACATTTTTAGATTTTGTTACCCTTTGAAAATGTTAATTGTTTAAGGTGATTCGCATGCTTGGAACTATAATTTTACTGATGACCATGAACTAGTTTCACTTGCATTAAGTTCCAAACCGTAGGTATTTTCTGCTAGTAGCAACAACAGTTCATTATTCATTGTAAAGCTTCAGGACTATCAGTGAATCCCACCGTACATCAGCGGGACGAAACAAATCCCTGTCACGTTAAATTTTGATAATCATTTTCTACTTTTCTCTGGATAGCCTTATGAGAGCCGTCTTATTTCAACGAATTTGCTATAATTGTGGTTTCATAATTTGGAATAATTTATGGTGTTGGACTGTCAAAAGCCTTTTGATAATATATGAACCCAAACATATGCATCAACACCTTTCGTTTGTAGGTACCTGGAAAACAGCGCTTATCTAGTTACAAATAAAAGCATCTTGAATGTTGTGAAATAGCTATTTTATATAGTCTTTCCAGCTTCGCATTATGTCTTGTGTATTTATTGTTATTTGGCCACAGATACAGAACTATTCCTAATTTTTCGTTGTAGTCCCTCATGAATGATAACGTCATTCTTCAGAAGTTTCCTCAAGAAGTTGCTTAATATGTATTTTTCCGATCTGGAAATGCGCCAGAATGCAGCCCATCCCGAGAAAAGGCAAGAAAACTCTTCCTAGCAATTATCGTCCCATCTTGCTTAGAATCGTACTTTCGAAAATAATGGAAAAGGCAGTCAACCTGAAACTGATTAAATACCTTGTTATTTGGCCCCTGATAAAGAACTATTCCTAATTTTTCGTTGAAGTTCCTCATAAATGATATGTTAAAGTCATTCTTGAGAAGTTTCCTCAAAATGTATATGTATATACGAAATTAGTAACATTATGCGGTGTTCTGACACTCCGCGTAGCAATGGTTATGGCGATTCTTCACAGCTCTTGACCAGTGAAAATCTGACGGGAACTAAAGTCCTTGAGTTTTTTTTTTCTTAGTCATGTTGATTCCAGAATTAATAAAATACAGGGTAGTTTTGATTTCCGTTGCTTTCCATGCGCTGAGTCTACTTTCCTTTCATTTCTTGAGGAGAACTGGTTGCAACAATATTTTTTGGTGACTCAAAGGCATGTTTATTCAATGTCTGTGGCGTTGATCGAACTTTTCCCAAGAGCCACTTCCCACGTCCCGTTATTGCTGTAGCTGTGTGGTCGAGGACTGCTAATTCAATATATTCGCAGCTAATTTTCATATCTACAGGCCGTTCCCTATCCGCCACAACCAACTGTGAACCCCTTACTGGACTGGCGCTAGAATTTTTTTCAACAATCCAAAATGGAATTAATCTTTTATCGTTTACCAATTAGTTAGTTAGTTACCGATAACGCTGAGAGTAAAGAATTATAATTTTAGCTAAATGTTACTAAATTCTTCATAGAATTAATAAAGCTCAGCACAATTTTGGATGGATCCATGGTTTGCAGTTAAAGTTATAGATGATATGGACTCACTATTTTCTATAATGTTTTTAGTTATGTTGATTTTCAATTTCAGATCTCTGATGAAAAATGGAGCTCAGACTTCAGTTAGAGAATTTATTTTTATTTGTGGCAGATATATCTACAGAAAGAGTAACAGTTTGCTTATATTGTCTGACTTAGTGAATAGCGCGATAGACCAACCTAAGCGAACAGAAATTTGGGCTAGTTTTGGATGTGCATTCAGCATTTTGCCAAAAGATTCATTTAAAAAGCTTTATGACAAAAATAGAATAGAATATAATGCCAGACGAAATGCATGGGCGATTCTTGACTGATTTTGAATTATATGAAAGGCTAGGTACCTATAGTTCATAGAAAAAAAAGTTGTAAGAAATTAAAAAAAGTACATATTTTTATTTTATCTGTGTATTTTGTGCAACAACTCAAAAAAAAATCGGAAAATTGGTAAAAAATATGCATTGAAACCAAAATAAATAATTGGAAATACCTTCATTCTGATTTTGGAAAAATACAAAAACAGGATACCCACATGGAACGTTTGTAACTCCGAGAGGGGGGGAGGAGGAGGTGGCACTTGCAACTGTTGTAAGGTTGCAGTAGGTAGACATAATATAGGCAAAATGTTAGTATTTATCTTTAATACTAAATCGGTGTGTGTCCGAGCAATATTTTTAACAAAATTCGCGAAGTGCCTTGAAGCTTGCGAATCATCAATTCATCCAATATAATGACTCGGAAATAAAATTAAAATATTTCAAAATACCTCTAAATTAGGATAAAATGTTCTAGATTTACTTACACAGGGTGTCCCACCGGGAACCACATCGATCAATTTGTAAAAAACTGTATGCAGAAAATTTTTGAAAATTTGACAGGCACTTCCGGTTATACCGCTTATTTTAAATGAGACACCCTGTATATAATTGCATATTTGGATTCTACGTAAGATTCTGAGCAGATTTCATGTGATTACCCTATACCTTAGTTCAACTGTTTTGGAAATATTGACAGTCGAAAATTGACTTTTTGCAACTTTGACAGGCTGTAAAACCTAAATGGTTAGTTTTAGAGGAAAATCGATTTTACATTCCTATTTTAGATTTTCATCGATGATTAAAAATTCCAATTAAATTTAATCTACTTTTAAATTCAAAGTTGGTGTCAAATGAAAGTTTATGAAAACTTAAGACAGGAATGTGAAGTCGGTTTTACTCTAAAACTAACCGTTTAGGTTTTACAGCCCGTCAAAGTTGCAAAAAGTCAATTTATGACTGTCAATATTTCCAAAACAGTTGAACTTAGGTAAAGGGTGTAGAGTCCGCGTCAAGACTAAAGAGTACGGTGTCGTCATTTGCGCACAAACCCAATTTTGAAGACTCACCGAAGTATCGTATCGATCGGTGCTGCTGCCGAACGCCAAGCACGTGGTTCATTGTCGTACGGCCAGCAGGCATATTTATTTAGTTTATTTTGTATCCAAGTTTTGTCTAAAAAGATACCCCGCTGCTGGTTTCAGCTCACGGCCGAGGTCACGGCAGACAGCGAGAGATAGACGAGGGAGAGAGATCCGACCCGCTTCGCGCAGCTTTTTATTTCGTCACCGTAGTCTTTAGTGCTGATTTTACCTCTATCACATGAAATCTGCTTAGAATTTTACGTAGAATCCAAATATGTAAACATATACAGGGTGTCTCATTTAAAATAAGCAAGCTGACGTCTACTTCCGGTATAACCGGAAGTGCCACCATCTTGAACATATTTTAGCCGAGTTGCCCCCGTTGAAATTAGTATACTGTCAAAATACAGTTTTTCACATTTATGGATCGATGTGGTTCCCGGTGGGACACCCTGTAGTTGCATTACATTTGTATGTCATCATTTTTCGAAATAAAAGTATGACTGCAAATTGTTGCGTAATCATTATCATTTAATTTTCAGGAAATTTATTCAATCATTTTATTTTTTGTATCTAGAGATTTTTTGGAAACCTGTTACACGCCTCGCTATAGAAAAAAAAGTGATAACGACGACAAATGGTCCTACAAAGAATTCCGTTTTCCTTCCCCAGTGCTGGCTCAAAAATTGTCAGACAGTGCTATTTCAACTTCAACTGCCTTTCAGTCTGATAAATATAGATCAGTTAGTATTAAAGACCGCACTGACTATCTCTCTCTTTCTTTATCGCCATGTTCCAGAAGTGAAAGTGAATTCCTAAGAGACTGTCCATCTATGTAAGTACCTACCTCTACCTATTTAGATATTACTTGAAATTAGACTTTAACTTTAAAAGCTTTTTTATGTGGACACATTTTATAGGAAATATCTTCAACGGTAAATTACTGGCATTTGCATGTCTCTCAGTTTATTCAATAAAAGTGCATAGTTTGCACTTGTGGAATATGTTGAATAGTAATGTAATTAAAGGTATAAATGCAAAAATAAAAAGACCTAATCGAAAAAATCTGAGTGGTGAGAAGCCTGAAATAAGTTTTGCTCAAAACCGTAATATTGAGTGCAATTTGATACATTTCGTATTTAGTTAAATTGTAATGTCTTGCGTCAAACTTCAATGAAACTTTGCCCATTTTATGACCAAATATTTTGCAAGGAGACTGCAAGTAAAGAGGGTGTAGTTCCAGACTTTTCAACAGACACGAACATTTCTATCATGGTTTTAGAGGTGTCACTTTGAGCTGACTACAATCATGCTTGACTAATTTGTAAAGGGTTTAAGTAATTTGTCAACAGCTCAGAGCATCGAGCATGATGTTCCTAAAGGCTCAGTGCTTGGCCCACTTCTGTTTCTTATATTTAATAATGATTTTGGCCCCCATTAGCATTAACATTATTTGCTGATTATACATCAATATTGCAGCTAGGAACAGATGGTAACATCTTGGACCATTGATCATGACATTAAGGCTATAATGGTATGGTGCAAAAACATTTTGAGTTTTAGGTAACAGACGTAATCTTGAACAATGTCCCAATAAGTAATGAAGAGAGTTATAGGTTAAAAAATGCAAGTTCTGTCAGTCATGGGGCAAGAGTAACATTTGAAATCAAATTGAAGATTACAAGAATGAACAAGATTCAATAATAGTTATTTGAGGCCGCTCATTCCGACTACTGCTTCAACAAAAAATTCCATTATATATGAGAAAGTGAAAATGTTTAATCATCTCTGCCTCTGGAGCTTAAAAATTTGGAGAATGTTAGACATTTCAATAAGCATGTTCAAAGGCTGTTATTGTTGAGTAAAGCCTATTACTCCCTTGAGTTTTACAGTGATAATTGCAATATTTTTGTCCATTCTATTTTGTGTAAATAAGTTCAAACTCCTGTGATGTGTTTTTCCTTGATCTGTTGTTCGATTATTTATTCCATTCGTTCTAATTATATCGTTTTACATCTATTGGCACCTATAAACATAATTTTTTTGTATTTGATATTTTTACTTCCAGCTTTGTTAATGAGGGCGTTGAGCTCTTTATACAATAAAGCATTTGTAATTGATTTGATTTGAATCCGGATCTTTGCGTCTCATCTTGGGTATGTATACTACCCTGACCCTCGACCAACTGCCAGAAATATTTTTCCAAGCTAGGCTAGCTGTGAATATTTTTATGAGGAGTTAGGTAATGATTTCCTGTCCGTTTTGAATTAGAGCTAGAAATATACCATAACTATTATTATTTAACAATGCTTCAACGTCTTGCAAGCGAGCAGGAAAAGTGCTTCATAAAAATAGCAATATCCTCTAATAACCCATCTGGAAAATTCTGTGCAACCATCCTCATCGGCATCGGGTTTTTTAAACTGCATGTGATAGCATTATCAAGTTTAATTACGTTGACTGATTATTTTTGTGGCTACTTCCCACTCTTCTTTCATCGGCCGATTAAACTGGCCAACGGAAGTGGGCTGAGACTCGTCATTCAGGAACAGGTTACCTGGGAAATTATTCTCTGCCAGGAGCATTCGAGCAATCGAACATTAGTAAGTGTATCTCTACCCTCCGCTCCGCTGCGTTTGCGTCCTAGACTGCTTCAAACGAGGTTCTGAGGCAACCACTCCTCCGTCAGACGTAGGAAATGCATAACGGAAAACTCACGAAAGAAAACCTACGATTACATATTTTACTTTTATTGCTGCATAGACCAGACCTGCGTCAGACGCATGCGTCCGCTATTTCATAGGAAATGATTACTGCTTTCTACATCCATTTCCGGAATAATGAGAATAATGAAATGCCATGCACTATAAATTCACGGTAATATTCAATATCAACCAACACAGCTAAAAAAAAGTAGAACAAAACAGAAAATAATATATAAATTGGGATGACACTGGTCATATAACTCCCGTAGTCTAGTCAGCAGGTGCACCTGGGCTGGGACTCTGTTACAAATAGAGATATTTTCTCCATCTCTATTGACGTCCCCTCTCTATTGATTTCGAAAAGAGAAACGAAGACAGCAAGTGCCATAGCGATAGGGATAACGATCTCTATCCCTTACAGAGTCCCAGCCCTGCATACTTCCCGGGGAGACGTAAGTCGCCCACCCCAATAATTCAACCTATTGGCGCTTGCCGACTTAAATTATCATTTTGGGCTACTGTTGCGACATTTCCCCGCTGCTTATATTTTGTATATAGGGAACGGCATATAAACTTACGATAGATTTTCTATGACGTTAATGAAAGAGAGCGACGTGATGTTCAATTAGCCTCGTATAATGAAGTGTTCCAAATCAGAATCAAAATACTATACATTGTGTATCAAGGGCGGAAAGAAGACGATGTGTCGACGAGTGTGGTGCACACAGAACTTTTTGCGCAACTCCTTTGGAAACATTTAAATAAAAAAAGCCGACAGGGGATCGAGCCCAGGCTCCCTTCAAGAACCAACCCTAAAAATGTGGCACATCACATTGACCACTCGGCCAATCTAATTTTTACGAATTGGTTAAAATCTATTGTTAATAAAACCATCGTTCATCGTTCCCAATATCAATAGTTTTTGAAATCAATTTTTGATTCAAAATTTTTTTAAAATCAAAAAAATCGAATAGATTTCCAAACATTTGTTATTCTCATTTATGCTATCTATATTTTCAGAGAAATGTGAAAATATATCACTCTGTCAAACTGTCAACCCAAATGTCGAAGTAAAATTGACAGCATTCTAGCCCGCAGGCGGAAATGTTCTTGTTTGCCCGGCTGTGAAATGCGCATGCGCGGCAGTAAGCAGGCTGCAATCGTTTACGCTCCGCCTGCTTCACACATGCGTCAAAATATCGCGTTATTCAGTAGGTTGCGCAAAAAAGCACTTCTATCTGTTTTTTTTGACAGGCTGAGAGAAAAAATAGAAATACACTGGGTGCGCTTTAAACTTATCAACCGAAAATGCGATAAATGTCAAATCAAACTCACTCGAAACACATTACTGCTCCGAACATAGACGCTAGTGTAAGCGAGCAGGCAGACACATCAACTTGATAAAGGCCATCTCAGACAAACCTGCATAATTGCATAGCATAGGCGCATAAGGAATTCAACTAATCACAAGCTGAATAGGAGCAGCCATATTGCTTTTGCATAAGATTTTCCATAAAAATGAAAAACTTAAGGAGCTGTGCTATGCGCGGCCAATCAAAATACGTCGCTGCAAGTCATGTGATTTTTGACTTTGACATGACCTGATTATATTTGATAATATTTATGTTTTTGCTATGAAAACAATTAAACTAACGAAACCTCAAGTGCCTAATTCACAGTGAAAACATTAAAAAATCAAAATTTGCAATCAAATAAACACAAACAGAACAAACAAAAACAACTCATCTCATAACCTACAAAATAAATGTTGATGGATGACAAGATTGCCGTAATTTGATTGGTCGAACGCCCTATGGTTTAGGTTTTGTGTGTTTTGTCTGGTTTTGCATAGACCATTACGTATGGTTATGCGCCATGCTATGCGTTATGCAAAGTTGTCTGGGATGGCCTTAATCAGTATTTATTTCTGCTCGTACTTCAGTTTCAGTTCAGTTATGCAATAATTTACTCCATAATATAAACAAATAATGTAAAACGAACAAATTAGTGGAATATAAATTATATTCATGGAGCTAATTCCCGAACTTGGTCGATGGCGCTGCTATCTAGCGACATAGCACTGATTGATGTTGCTGCCTCTTGCGAGAGAAACAAGACCAAATTACTCCATACATAATACTCTTTTTCTACTACTAACCTGATAAATAGTCATTATTCAATTTATTTTTCTAGGAAACAATTGAATTTCTCTCCCTAGGTGAATAATGATAATATAAAAAAAATCACGTGCAGCGTGTAAAACGTGGTAGGAGTGAAACTTCTCAAAAACTATCCTTTCCTCATATAACTTTAGGTTTCATTGTTTGTCTTGTTCGGGGCAGCACTTCCTGCTTTGAGGCGTTCGTTTGTGAGCGTTTTACATGGTTTATCTGCCATAATCTCATAATCTGAAATATTACAGCTTAGCTCAAGTTAGTGCGACACAAACAAACAAACCTTTTTAGTATGATTTGGGGTGAAGACGAAGGGAAAGGCGCATCTGTAGTGACGTCACACGGGTATCGGCGCTTGAAAATAATAGTTTTTAATCCTTGGTTTGTGTTAATCATTTGTTGGCTTTCATTGTCATTGGCAGTCTTTCTCCGTCCCTCTACCTTATATTTTTCTTCTCTCTCGTGCAACGGAATTTGCCAAAACGTGGTGCGTTTTCCAAATCACTCTCCATATTCTTGTCCAAATATCAAACCGCCGCCTTTCATTTCAAAAATCACAGCACACTGAGCACTCAAATGTATAAATAACGAAAATATTCACAAAACACCATAATAGAGAGATATTGCAAATCCACGTTAATAAGCAGTGGTGACGCCAGGGGGGGGGGGGGCCAGAAGGGGCCGGGGCCCCCACTGAAATTTAGCTGGCCCCCCCTGAAAACTTGCTCTCAAGTCGGCAACAATGCAATGCAACATCCGCAGCCTCTGCCGGTTAATTCGGTATCCGAAAAGCACAGGCCAAGAATCGTAAACTAACAGGATTGCTCATACTCATAGGGCGTACGTTCGCTAATTCTCGAGTCGGCAGGGCCTGCGAGTCACTACTAATTAGCAACATAGCAGCTTATAATGATGACGTCAGTCGCAGGCATCGCTGGGATGTTGCGATTCAGATT